GGTCTCGAGACCAAGACCGGTCTCAAGACATCCAACTCTAGTTCATGCCTATAGTTTTGTTTATATTGTTATTCATATATTTTCCTTTTTAGTCTCATTCTCAGTTCCTAATTGTTTCAGAGTTTCGATCCATCCTCTCAACTCAGTTCTTTGTGTCTGTGCTTCACTGTTTATTTATCACATTTCACTTTCTGCTTTAGCTTCTTTATAGTTATCTGTCCTGTCTGTCTTGTGTTCACTTTCACTTCCTCTTGTTTCCCTGATTGTTTGCACCTGTGTTGTTCCCCAGCTATATTCACTTCCCGTGGGGAGCCACGTGCATTTAAGTAGCCAGTTTTCTACTTATCGTTTGTCAGTGTATTTGTTACTCCACCCCGAGATGTTTCTAACATGCTTTGTATTTGTTTCCTGGATTTATTTTTTCTTTGGACCATTTCCTACTATGGTTGAAGTTTTAGTTCTGTCTGCCTGAGTTTAAGTCTGCATTTGGGGTCCTCTGACACACACACATCATGACACTATTATGTCATAGAAATCAGTGTTGGGGCCTCTCATGAATAGGCTCAGTTTTTAGGAACGCTTTTGTAAGTTTAGATGGTTCCTTCACTGTGTTTTTCAGGATATCTGGGCTCTCACTTAGAGATAGAAGGAAAAGCTCAATCTTTCAGAGGGACTCTGAATAAAGCCATTGCTCCTCCGGATCAAAAGCAGCCAGTTCAGGTGGTAACCAGGAGGCATCCTAGTCAGGTGACTGCTGGACGCCTCATAGGTGAGGTGTTACAGGTATTTCCTACTAGCAGAATGGCCACGGGGGAAACCCAGGACTCACTAAAGATATTACATCTTTCAGCTGACTTGTAAATGACTTAGGTTCCCACCTGATGAGCTGATAGAGATAGCCATAGTGAGGGAACTTGGGGCTTCTCTGCTCAGACTGCTGCCCACCAAAACACAAACCAGGATAAGTGGTAGAAAATACATGATTGGCTTTTCAGGCAGCCACTAAAATGAACGTCAAAATTTCAAGCCTAGACTGCCCTTGGAGGACATCACAAGATTATTTTCCTTTTGTTCCTTAAAATATATATATATATATATATATATATGAGTCCTCGTCTGATTAAGGGTTAAATTCAAACCCAGCACGTTCAAAGTTAACCAGATCTTTCATCCCCATTCTTCAGGTTTAAATGCATAGAGTTGCTGCCATTTGACTGATTGACTGGAGATAAAAAAATTAGTCTGCACATGTTTTCAACTGTCTGGGAGCTTGCTCTGTTCCTTAATGGGCTGAAATGCGAAGGATTTGCGGAGGATCATGCAAAAGCACAGCTTCTGTGGGGAAAAATCCACTCTCAACCTGAGCATTTGAAGCTTATCTGCTCAGAACAAAGTTGCACAAATCTTTTTGGTGGTGCAGCATTTTTAAAGACAAGATGAACATCTGAGCACAAGATGACCTTCTGAACAGTAAATGTTCTGTTTTTGCTAAGGATATCACAGTGACGTTGCTGTGTTAGGGATTCCTGTCAAGAACATTTAGGCTTGTTTATAAAATGACCTCATTGGTTTTAAAGATAAAGATGCAGTAGCTGATGAGAAATTATCAACACACTGCCTGCTTCAGTGAGTTGCTTTCTATATAATTAAAGATAACTGTGCTGTGTTTTAATTTATTACTCTTGATGTGCTTTAAAAGCTAAGCGTAGGGCATAAAATCCTATGAAGATGCACTTTATTTACACTTCATTTCTCAATATAAAAGAGCAGAAGTAATCAGACAGTTTTCACCACAAGTATCTTATAGATAAATAATGTGGTATGCAGGGTCTATCTATTGGATACAGAGGACCATTCTGTCTCTACAAACAGACCATTACTGGAAACCAGTATAATAACTAATTACTTGCGATGCCTAAATAGGATCAAGTGATTAAAATATAGCATTGAGAAGCTAATAAATAACAAATTGTATTTCTATTTTCAGTGATCTGGAGTTTAATCCAGCTTTATAAGACTGCATGCAGCATGTATGCATTTAAAGTACCCTTTGAACTAGCAAAAGTGCAGTATGTACAGGCTCAGGACACAGAAATGTTTTCCTTACAAGCAAACATACACCCACTTTGCATCACACCCTGCTGGTTCCGTACTCGTTCGACAGGTTTTCTCGTCAGCACAAACAACGCCACACCCTCGCAGTTCTCTCACCTCCACAGTCCAGGTGCAGGGATCACAGAGAGGGGTGGGGGAGGCAAAGGGGAGGAAGGAGGAGGGTCATTATCCCCTTTGAGGGTGGAGCAAAAGGGGAGGCGAAGAAAGCGGATGAAGCATTTGAAGCTCATATTGACATGTGGCTCTGTAGGCTCCTGTGTGCACAGGTAAGAACGAATGAACTTCGTGGTAGATTGATACTATCTGGTGCTTGTAGTGTAGATTTCCACCTGTAGCCGTGTGGTAGAGGTGGCGGGAGTGTTTACACAGGTTAAACCAGTTTCATTGCCAGGAAGTGGACATGCTGGCAGTCAGGTCACAGCAAAGTTTACTGTACATTTGCACCTGTTCACATTACTGAATGTGAACTGCATTTATTACTATTTATTTTTTATCTTGCCTTTGGAAGACATCATTTTGGAAAAAATGTAAATAGTATTGCTATTTACCCGACATGACATGAACCTATTCCTAGAATTTTCTTTTCGGTCATTTGCAAACAGCCTTCAGTTCCAGGGTTCAGTGTTAATGTAAACAACTAAATATTGATTGTGAAGCATGGCGTTAAAACACTGAAGGTTGAATGACCAGAATGACCATGTAAAACATAGATATGACTTTGCAAGATGTTCCAGAAATGTTTGTATTTGTCATCCCTGAATTCTTCCACCCTGAGACAAGAAGCCATTTTAATATGTTAACCCTGTTTTTTTTTTTTCAGCCATGGATGGTGTGTTGGAAGGCGCGGCTGTGTTGTGTCTATGTAAACTGGCCTGCAGTCTACTCTTCCTGCCCTCATTGGCCGACTCCTACAGTGCTGTCAGTTTCTGCTGCTGCTGCCTCCTCGTCTTCACAGACTTCCTGGTCACAGGTGAGGGCTTGATTAGGACACTGCAGGATTCTAACCAGTGTTTCCAGTTCCCCCACAGCCCTCTTATACAAACTGAGTCACTTGAATTAGTTTAAAATATCAGAAGGTGTTTCCAACAACCTGTATGTTCAAGTTTCCAAATAATTTTATTTTTTTATTTTTTAAGATTAACCTTACCTCACAGCAGAATCTTGGTTTTACTGACCTCCAGTGGCTTAAGCACTCACCCTGCAATGGTGATTTGCAGGCGTTACCCGAGGCCTGTGACATCACTGCTGGGCGTGGCTATAGGTGCAGCAAATAATGAATCAAATAGAATAATGATGCCTCGATGGCCTTACAGAAATAGTGAATTTGTTGATCCAGTACACGCTCTGTAATAAATGCACTGCAGACACAACAGAAAGGAGATGCTGTGAAACGTCACACGTTTTATTTATTGCCAATGGCTGAGATGTGGCAGTATGTGGCCACAGGCTTTGATCACAGCTGCAGCTGCTCTGCCTGGGATCTGCTGGCTGAGGATGTGATTAATGCTCAGGCTTCAGCAGCATTTGCTGTTGAATCTGCGGACTGTGGATGTGTGCCTCTGTCAATGAAGGAAAACATTTCTGTGAGGTTTCTGATTAAACTGTTAGAGTGTGAGGACTGAAGGAGCATTTTGAAGCGTAGGGAGGGCATAACATGCTAGCTGGAGTCAGCAGGAGCCACGAGAAGCTACTGTTTTTCTACATCAGAAAAAATGAAACAAAAGAGAAAAGGTTTGCTTTAAACTTACTTTCAATACGTTTGTTTACTGTTGAACTTTTTAAATCTTAAAGTCATGTAACACTTGACAAAGTCAATGAGTATATATGCTCCTAAATGTTTCAGCGGGGTCTCAATTCATAGATTAACAGCACATCATAAATACTGTGTTTTCCCATATTTCAAAAATATTTCAAAATCCATGGTCCAATCAAATCTGAAAACCTGCCTTATATTCTTCTGCAAGAGGTCTAAACTCTGACAGGTGATGACTTTAGGAATGTACTTTTATTGCCTATAATTTGCTTTTATTAAACATGGAAAAAAGAAACTGTACCTATTAAGAAATGCAGCTGGTGTTTCTTAACAGAGACATGTTACAACTCATTCTTTTTAGTACAAAGAGATCTCAGGTAAATACAAGCAGTGGTTTCACAACTCCGACCTGAGTCAGTCTAATCAGCTTTAAGAACCAAAATGCCTGGTAAATTAATTGGGAACCTGTTTAATCTAATCTATAATAACCTCATCTATAATAAATGTTTATATTTCATAAGGTGAATAGACATAAAAGCAGCAATATCTACCAAACAAACTTGAGAAGAATAAAGAAGTATGAATTTAAAAAAGATATAAAAGTGTTTTTCATGTTCACAGTAGGTAAAATGGAAAAGGAAATGAACTTGTATCTTTATCTGAGAGCTACAGATTAAATAATTATTGTAATCTTTGAGTTTGGGTTGTTGTTGTTACTTTACTTTTGGAACTTCGGATGAACATTTTCACAATTTTCTGATAGAACAAGAAAACAAATGACAGATTCAAGTTCCACTCACTGCCAGACGCCTTTTTATTTACATGATAGGAGATGCAAATGATAGGAGATGCAAATGCTATTTATTTACATGATAGGAGATGCAAATGCTATTGTTGCTAAAATAAAGATAAATGAAACAGACCTTATGTAAATTTCACCACTCCTTTTGGTTTTGGCTAGGGCAGTGGTTTAGGAGGCAAGACACATGAACTCCTACGCAGTTACCCGAGTTATTCATACTTCAATCGGTCAAACTGTGTTTGTATGGAGGGGTGTGTTAGGATAAAAAATGATTTGCGGGCTGAGTTACCTTACACCTATATTAGGATGAAGTGTTTTTCAGAGCTTTGTCTTTAATAAAATGGCAGAATATTTATTTTAAGTTACTTTATTAAACCAACCCTTTCTCTTCTTTCTGATATCTAATTACCTGGTCTCATCCAGTCATCTAACTCACTGACTCTGACCCTTTTTCATTGTGTTTTGTGTTTCTGCAGCTTTTCTGAGTTGCCTTTGCATCTTTGACTCTTGGCTGACTGACTTGACTCCATCAGGGGATTTTATTGCCCTGCGCTTCCTGCTCTTTCTCAGCCAAACCTATGGAGCGGTGCTGCTGCTGACCGCACCTCTGATCGCTGTGGAGACTGTGATCAGACTCCTGTGGCCCTGTGTTGTCGTCCCTCTCAGGACAGCGAGGCGGACAGCAGGCTCTGATGGACAGTGTTGTGATGGGAAAGAGGAGGAAGAGGAAGACAGCAGCGGCTCAGATGAAGACATACGGTCTCATGTTGTCGGCTACCTCTGCTGCCTGTCAGTGTGGGTCATTGTCGCCCTCAATGTCAGGGGGCAATGGAAGCTGGAGGAAGTGTGGGCTGCTGCCTGTCTCCACACAAATAGTTCCCTTGTCAGATGTCTGCCCAGCCTCTTCAGCCCCATTCCTAGCGGCATAAATCTCTGCTGGTCCATGGGCTTCTTCCTCCTCCTGCTCCTGCTGACCACGAGCAGCACAGGCCTTCAAAGGAGACGCCAAGGCCATTCGCTGATGTTCAGAGTCTTCAATAAAGGCGACTGTCACTGCCAAGAACTCATTCCAGAGTCGTCTGCACCCCTCAAGCCTGTAAAACCAGTGATGTTGGTGTCTGAGCCAGCACAGCATGTTGACCCAGAGAAAACAGAGAGCAGCTGTACTGTTCATACAGCCTGGAACAGCTGGCAGATGTTGACATGCAACCATGGAGACTTTGTCCTTATTTCCCCAATGCATTTGTCTGGAAAGAAGGAAAGACAGGAGAAAGAAATGGCAAGGAGAGATGTATCTGTGGCATTTATCACAGAGGAAAACGTGGACTCACAGTGCAGGAGCTGGTGTGGGTGGCGACAGTGGGGTTTTCCCAGCCTCGGGGTGAATGTAATGATAGGGTTGGTATGTGTGCTCTCCATATTTGCGCTGCCTCTCAACCTAAGCGTGAATGTTGTTCTCGTCAGGACTATTGAGACTCTGCTGGAGCTGTGTATCAAATCTGTACTTTCATCAAACATAGCGGCAAACACAAGAGACACGTCTACTTCTGGTGATGAAACACTCATTTAACGCCAAACAAATGGGGAGAGAAAGTGGAACCTGATTGGTCGCCGTTTGCAACACAGTCATCAGATTACAGCTGGCTTGGCTGTTAACACTGGCTTGAATAGAGCACAAATGCACATTTGCGTGCAGCTATTCACATGTGAGGAGTAATATGTGGAAACTGCTGATAGCTGTTGAGGAGGCAGGTTGAGGCGTGCTTGGTAGAAAGACACTAAAAACCTCGACTGGAACAGATGGCTGGAAGGCCTCTCCTTACTATTCAGAGCTTTGGGATCTGCCACTATTTGTCATTACACAGTGGGTTACAAAACAAGCCACTCCAGTATAAATAAGACTAATACAGGCGCAAACACTGTTTTGAAAGTTATGAACAGGATGAATTAATATGAGTCTGCTGATGCTCCATCACATAATGCCTGTTTAAAGCTGCATATAAATAAATGCTGAGTGACTGCAGGGCACACCGGGAATTCTTTTGGTTTTCTTTGTCGGTTTGTTCCAAAGGATTCAACTGAAGCTGAAGTATGTGAACTTGAATACTTATTATTCAAGTTAATCTGAAGTTAACAATCACAACTGCACATTGAAATAGAACAAATGATCACTTTATGAAAGCAGCGTAAAGCATTAAATCTGTGATTTCTGTTTCTTTGCCATGTTTCTGCTTTCTGTGACCTGTTAGCTGCTACAGAAGAGAAAAACACTGAAGGGTATTTTTATTCATCTTCAACATCTCAGCTAACTGCAATATAATATATAATGTGAAACTGTATACATAGTTAATAGTAATAAAAACCTGTTTTGCAGAAAGTACTTTTACTATTTTTTTATATATATATATATATATACACACACTTAATATCCACTTCACTAGGGACACCTGTTCAAATGCTCATTAACACCAATCACCAGTCAACTAGTCAACTGGCAGCAACTCTGTGCATTTAGGCTTGTGGACATGGTCGTAACAACCAACTGAAGAATGGGGAAGAAAGATCTGGGTGACTTTGAACATGCTGGCATTGTTGATGCTAGACAGGCTGGTCTGACAATTTCAGAAGCTGCAGATATGCTGGGATTTTCCCACTTAACCATAAGTATTTTCTCCATAAAAGAGAAAATATAAAAAATGCCTTGTTGAGGTCAGAGGAGAATGGCCAGACTGCTTCAGCCTCTTGGGAACACTCAAAGAACATTACAACCAAGGTGTGCAGAAGAGCATCTCTTCTTGAACCTTAAAGCAGATGGGCTACAATAGCAGAAGACCACACGTGGTTCCAATCCTGTCAGCTAAGAACAGGAAACTGAGGCTATCATCACACAGGTTCCGCAAAATTGGACAATAAAAGAGTGGTAAAATGTTGCCTGATCTGATCAGATAGCAGGGTCAGAATTTGGTGTTAATAACATGAAAGGTTGCATCCATTCTGCCTGGTATCAGTGGCTCAGGCTGGTAGTGAAGGTAAGTGTGAGGGATATTTTTTGGCACATTTTGGGTCACTTTGCATCATCTGAGTATCATTTAAACACCAAAGCGTACCTGAGTATTGTTTCTGACACACTGTACCCATCTTCTGATGGCTGCTTCAAGCGGGATAAAGCGTCATGTCACAATCTCAAATCATCTCAAACTGCTTTGTTGAACGTGACAATGAGTTCACTGTACTCAAATGGCCTCCACTGTCAACAGATCTCAATCCAGTAATCAAACAGCATCTCTGGGATTTTGTGGAACAACAGATTCACATCATGGATGTGCTGAAAGCAAATCCGCAGCACCTGTGTGATGCTATGATATCAATACGGACCAAAACCTCCGAGGAATGTTTCCACCACCTTGTTCAATTAAACATTTCAAAAGCATTGAACCCTGTAGTAGTAAGGTGTTTCTAATAAAATGTCCAATGAGTGTCTTCTTGTAATACTTATTTATGAGTAATAAAACCTCTTTTTATAGTAAATGCTTTTACTTTATATATTTTTACTGACTACATTTTCAATGCAGGAATTTTAAAAGTAATCAAATTTTATTCTGTTTAAATTTGTGCTTTTACTTAAAAACAGGCACAGAAATTATTTCCACTCTCCTTTTTGTCCTTTAAGTTGAACATTAACTTTGCACAGACTGGAATAGGTACCTTTGCTCTTTCAAAAAGTACCAAAGAAGTACCATTCAGCCCCACTAAATCTCTCTGATTAACAGCTGAAGTTGTTCCCGTGTTGCCTGTTTCTGTTGTTGGTGACTTGTTTGACTTTCATCTGGTTGTCTGGCAACAAGTCCCTGCAAGAACTAAAACCTGGCTCTTAAAGTCTGTGATTCTACAGAAGAATCTTCTTTTGTATGCATTGGCTAAACAAACAAAATGTAAGGTGTGATTAGTGAGGTTTAGAGATAACTGACGATAGGTTTTTGTTTCTTTTATATCAGTGGTGTCAAACTCGTTCATGTTCATGCCCCCACCCCCCCACCCCCACCCCCTGCTGGTTCTGGCCTGCAGGCTGTACACTTGACACCTCTGCTTTAGAAACAAAACTGACTTAGTCCTCTGGCAATGTCTTCATATTTAACAGGCATGTATCCTGCTCAGAAAAGGTTATCGAGTTTTACTGTCCAGACACATGAGACAGCACATTTCTCAAACCTTTAAAAAAAAAAAAAAAAAGGAAACCCAAAACAACTTAGGACCAGTTTTGCAAATGGTAGAGCCGCTTTAGACCACTAGGTCTCAAATTGTTCTGGCATGCTCTTTTTAGTTAGTTTTGGAGTTTAAGTGATAAAAAAAAATTCAAATGAAAGTTTTAGAGGAATAACTTTCAAATTAATCTTAATTTACTCCAATTTTGTGTGTCTTCTCTTGTCTCTGCGCTTTATTGAGACATCTACAGTTCAGTCCATACGTTTGTGGACAGTGAGGCCTTTTTTTTTTTGCCTTTGTACACGACTACAGACTATTTAAATCAAACAATCATCATGTGATTTAAGTGCAGATTTAAGCTTTAATTCAAGTGAGTGAGCAAAAGTTTTCCATCAACTGTTTAGGTGTTACAGACATTTTCAGTGGCTCAGAAATAATTGGATAATTAACTGACAGGCCGTTTCATGTTCATGACAAATGAAGCAGATAAATGAGCTGAAGTTAAATCCAAGTGTTGATCTTGTCAGTGAAAAGTGAAGAATGACATTTTCTGGCTGAAAAATATGTGGAAAAACTTTAAGAGTTGCCAAATCCTCAATCACATTCCTGAAAAGAAGGAATGCACTGGCCAGCTCAGCAATATCAAAAGATCTGAAAGACCACAGTAGACTGCTAAAGTGGTTGATGACAGAATTATTTCCGTCTTTAAGAAGAACACCTTCATATCATCCATCCAAGTCAAGGTGTATCATTTTTTTTTGATCTACAATCAAGAGACACCTTAATGTATGGAAATATAGACGGTTTACAACAAGGTGCAAACCACTGGTTACACTCAAGAACAAGGAGGACAGATTACAGGGTGGGCCATTTATATGGATACACTGTGTTAGGTTCAATATTGAGGAGGGGTAGAGGAGGTAATCAACTTCCATAATAACAACACTGATCCGGCCAGGTGGAGTCAAACGATGATTTTAATGACACGCGTGGGAAGATCGCCCGCTGTACGCAGACAGCGCCGATCCCCGACTTACAGAGCATAAGCAGGTGTTTTATACCTTTCAGGGCTTAAATTTACTACACCCCTAAACGTCACTCAGATACAGTTCATACATAGGTTTCAAAACCACAATGACTTAAGACAGTTTAAAATAACATTGTCTCCATCTCCACAGCAGATGCTTCAGCCTTCTGACTTTCACTTCCCGTCTGGAAAACCAAACTGTTCCTCTTTTTGCAGAGACAGCAAGAAACTATTCCTCTTTTACAGAGACAATTTTAGAGTTGCAAGCAAACATGATTAACCTCTCACCTATAAATGAGATAAAGTCTACTGTGTGTGTGTCATCATGAACTGCACTCAGTTTCAACTTGTAACCTTTTCCACCAGACAGAAGGCCAGCACATACACATTTCAGATTATAACAAGCATTCAAAAGCATTTAGATTATAGATTCAACTCAACAGTTTAGAGTGGTTATCACTGCACCTGTAGTAAAGGCTAATCGGGTACCAATATGTTTAAACATCTGAATACAATATCAATACTGCAGATTGTATTATTAATGCAATGGTAATGATGATGATGATTAACAATAACAGCAAAATAATTTCTAATTCCCCACAACTGTAATAACATGGGAATGGTTGGTGATATTAAAGTCCTGCTTGTGGCACATTAGTATATGTGAGGGGGCAAACTCCTCAAGATGGGTGGTGACCATGGTGGCCATTTAGAAGTCGGCCATCTTGGATACAACTTTTGTTTTTTCAATAAGAAGAGGGCCATGTGACACATCACACTTATCACAGATGGGTCAACTTGTAGGGTGTCTTGCTTTGAAATCTGATGCAATGACCCGGTTACTGCGTTCACCAGATATCAACACAATTTCGATCCACTCCCCACGTGTTAACCTCTTCGACATGTCAATGGCTGTGAACAAAGAGAAACTTGTAAAGAACTCATGAAAGAATAAAGTTACGTTGAAACCAAGCACGCCATTGTTTTTCTTGTGACATTACCAATAAGTATGATGTGTCACATGACCCTCTTGCTATTGAAAAAACAAAAGTTGTATCCAAGATGGCCGACTTCTAAATGGTCACCACCCATGTTGAGGAGTTTGCCCCCTCACATATACTAATGTGCCACAAACAAGACTTTAATATCACCAACCATTCCCATTTTATTACGGTGTATCTATATAAATAGCCCACCCTGTAGATTAGACTTTGACAGAAAATATCTGCAGGAACCTGCACGGTTCTGTTCTTCAGAGCGATGAAACTAAGACAAACGTGTACCAGAATGATGAGAAAAGAAATAGATGGAGGAGGGAAACGGCTCATCTGAAGCCAGAGATCTGTCAAACATGATCGACATAGCGTTGTGGCATCGGCATGCATGGCTGCAGGGAACCAGGCTACTAGCGTTTATTTGATGATGATGATGATATATAGCAGCAGTCACAACATTACATCTGAAGTCTACAGATTCAGGCTAATGCCGAGTGCTTTGCAGTGCTAATGAATAATGACCCAAAGCATACTGCTAAAGAAAAGTAAAGAAGTTGGGCATATTCTTGAATGGCCAAGTCAGATCACAATCCAGCAGTGTAGGTTTTTTCAATAAATGCAAAACTGGAGGCAGAGAGACTCACAAACAAGCAGCACCTTCATCAGAACATCATTAACTGCAAAGGATTTTCATCCATGTAATAAAAACAATTAAAATTCTGCTAGTTTGTTCAATTAATTCTGAACATTTTGAGAAAATGGGGGACTATTTATAAAAAATACAATTAAAAAAAGACTACAGTTCCTGAACAATTAATGCTTTACTTTTGTCAAATACCTTGAATTAAAGCTGGAAGCCTGTGCTTCACATACTAATTCTTTGATTTAAAATCCACTGCGGTGGTGTGCATAGACAAAATTAAAAACAAACAAACAAACAAACAAAAAAAAAATCTGTGTCACTATCCAAAAACTTAGGGACCAAACTATAGTTTATCTTCTGCTTTATCTTCTGACTTCTCTAGAGGAGACATGGAAACGATTTTTTTCCCCTTTTACTACTGCTTCAGGT